AACACTGGACCTGCACTTTGAGATATCGTTTTCAGGTAGTTCCGACAAGAAAAAAAGGCAGTTTATCGTAGAATACTACCTACACTGGACCTGCACTTCGATATATATTTTTCAGGTAGTTCACACAAAAAACAAGGCAGCTTATTGTAGAATACTACCTACACTGGACCTCAGCCTTTGAGATAAATTAAGAATCTTACTTTGGGTTAATACAATGAAGTTTGATCCTAATGGTTGGAATCTTGTCTTCTTCGCCGTCTTCATGCCCCCCATCATCCTGCTCGTGTCCCTCTCTATCGCCATTTTGATCCATACTATCCCTCACTGATGCCTTGAACATCTTCGCTTCAGATATGACAAAACTGAGCAGAGGTTGCGTTAGGATAAAATGCGCCACTGAGGTCACGTGAGCTTTGCCTTCTTCAACGTTTTGGTGCAGGAGGAAGACGTATAAAACCTGGGAACGAATGACGTAAACACGTCAGTGTAACTGATATGAATATATACCTGGAGTTATATCTGTTATATAATTGTCCAGGTGAATTACGAAGACAATAATCAACAAATTTCAACAGGACAAATGGTCTGCACGTTTGTACCAAAGGGTGACTAATTGAAATAAAGTCTATTCTCACGTGAAAGCTTAATGTTTGTAACAAGAATTTCTAAGTTTTGGATTACAGTGGCTGATCAGATTAAAATTTGTCAAATGCTCTTAAAGTCTCGGTCAAATGAGGATGAGAGTTGCAACTCTCGCTCGCGTTAGATCGTCAGCTCTCATCGACCTTCATCACCTCTCCTAAACTTTGAGCAGGTTCAAATTTGGATGAGAGTTGATGAAAGGTTTTGTTCGTTTGATCAGTAATATCCAGTCAACTCTCATTCTCGTCTGACCGAGGGATGAAGGTTGAGAAGACTCTCACAGGGTGCGATAAATCTCGTACTTACGTATCGGAGGTACGCCAGCATTACGGTCTGGTACTTCTTTGGTTTCAGCCACGTACCAAGTAAGTATGCTGGTACCAGGTACCACGTACTGTAGGTATGCTGGTACCATAGGACCTTACCAAGCCCAGGGTATTCAAGACGGTATACGTAACCGTATATAGGTACGTCTGACATGTCTTGGCATAATACTGTACATATTGACCAGACTAAAAAATTTTGGAGTCAAGCCTAATGTCTAGGGGTGCACCGGAACTCGGTTCCGGCCGGTTAGTTCCGGCCGGAACCCCGATTTTTTAGAGTTCCGGTTCCGGCCGGAACTAGTAAAAAAAGCATGGCCGGAACCGGAACTCTGTCTGTTTCAGAGAGATAGAATATCAAA